ATCCCCTACACTCATTCAAATGGTTACATATCCTCATATACTCATCAACTCATGTGAATGTGGTCCCCCATTTGAATGAGTGGAGGAAATTGTGTCACCTCACTACCAAGCACAAAATGTATGCTTGGTACCAAGCATAGCCATATTTCTCATATATATACATATGTATATATATAGACACACACACACACACACATATGTGTGTGTGTGTGTGTGTGTGTGTGTGTGTGTATGTGTGTGTATACAACATATGTATACATATATGTAAAGCACCATAGGGGGGTGAATAGGGTGTATGCTAATCTAATCTGATTTAATGCCAATTTAAAACTAATTAACAAACATCCAAGCAAAATTGATATGCAACAAGATATACATGCAAGGGTAAGCAATATAAACAAGGGTGAAATAAAAAATACGAATGTGATAGTGCGCAATAAGACAATCAAACACATAATATGATTACGGAGTTCAGTCCTTCCGACCTACGTCTCCGCTCCCCACTCCCGGGTAGAATCCACTATTACAATGGGTTTTCGACATTCCCCAAAAACGTTTACACCTCTCAAGTTCGGTTTTTTAGCTCACCGAAACTTTACAACCTCACACTCTTGCAATCACACTCTACACCCTCTAATTATTGGTCTCTAGCCCGTGTACTTCCTCAAGTGCTCGGATTTACAACCTCTCTCTAGGCTTTACTATCGACGTCACTCCTCTTAGAACCAACCCCGTCTCTCACTACACACTTCTTTCGGTGTACAAATGTATTACAAAGTGATCTCACAATGAAGGCTCAATACAAATAATTTGTTCTCTATAATAGATGAGAACTCAATGTAAGCTCACACTCTAAGTCACACAATCTCACAACCCCAAATATATACTATGTATGAAATACTAAAAACTCAATAGGTTGTGTGTGTAAACAAAAAGTAAAATCAAATATAAACTCAATTTAGTCTAGTAAAAAACAAATATGACAAATTAAGCATAAACAAGCTAGATAATGAGTTTAAGAAAACTTCTCTAAAATAAGAGTGGAGGGATGTAGATTGAAGCCCAAACAAAAATGGTCTCCTCTTCCTCTTATGAAAATTTCTTCACAAAACAAACTTAAAACACAAATAAACTTTTAAACAAACTTTAAACTCTTGTAAACTTGTTTTAAACACTTCTTAATTTCTTTAGAATGTTATAGGGCAAGGGGTATATATAGGATTATAAGACAAAGCCCAAAAATCAAGAAAAACCAAGCAAAAAGAAAAAATAATGGAAACTGAAAATATAGCCGTTATAGGCCATCAGTCGACTGACGAGATGGATTAGTCGACCGATGAGCTGACTGTTACAGGCAGCTCACAGCACATTAGTTGACTAAAGACCTCATCAGTCGACTGAATAAAAAACAAAAACTTTTTGCAATTCCAGACGATTTCTTCAGTTGACTGAACACTTGCATTAGTCAACTGATAACATGATATAAGCCTATAATAAATAGTAAAACTAATTTTTGAAGTGTCTTTAAAAATAACAAATAAATTCCAAAAAATATAAAACTTTAGAAAATAATTACAAACATGATAATAAACTTGTTACAAAAAGAATTTTTTGAATTGCACTTCACATTTGTGAAAACTCATCATTTTGAAAAAAAATATCCAAAACATAAAAAGTTGATGGGCATGAAATTTGATGTTTTGACATAAACCAAGTTTTGAAAGTTTGTAAAATAATTTTATAGACTTAATAAAATATGTATATAATGATTTTTAAGTCTATAAACCAATAACTCAATATTTTTCCAAATATAATAGAATATGAAACAAGTAAATGTGTATATGAATATATATCTGTTTCATATCTACATAACTAAACCAAAATAACTTGACCATATGAAAACAAACATGTATATATATAAATATGTATTTGTTTCATATTTAAACTTAAAAATCAAAAATCAAAACTTGTGTATATATATATAATTATATATATATAAACCAAATACGTGTAAGTGTGTATATGATTGAGCTTAAATTATCAACACCCATACTATAAACCTAAACTAATTTACCAAGCAATGATCTTCAATGAGCTTGTCTTGGATGCGGATGAAGCTTGATTTTAGATATGACTTAAAATGTATTGCTTCACTCCACTATTCCTTCCATCCTCGAATGGATATAATCGTGAATGCTCAATTCCATCCAACCTCTAACTAATTGTTTGTCTAGAATAAATACAAAATACAAATACTAGATAAACAATATTAGTTATAAATTGTTTGTTAAAACATCATAAAAAACAATATTAGTTATAAATTGTTTGTTAAAAAAATCATCAAAATTGTTTGTTAAAACAAGAAGGTCAACAATCTCCCCGCTTTTGATAATAACAAACAATTTACAAAAAGAGATATGCATGATACGAAATGAATACATAAATTAGAATTATCATGCAAATAAACAAGAAAGTATATACTCATAATATTTCTCCTTATTTGGCAACATCAAAAATTGGGATATAAAAGAAATAGGAAAGCGAAAGCTCCCCCTACCTATAAGCGTGGTGAGTATAGAAACAAATAATAGGGAATAGCTCTCTCTATCAAAAAGCCTTAATGAAATATATGAAATTAATACTATGACAAACATGTGAGCAAGAATAGATGAAAACATGCTAAGTATAACTCACATACAACAAGACTATGACAACACATATAGATATATCAATATGAAAAGGTGTGTCTCAATACAAACATAAAATCTATGTATAAATGAATTTATTAAATCAAAAGAATGAAAAAAATATAAGAATCATGAAAAAATATTTTCGATTAAAAATAAAATATGAGAACCATGAAAATCATGACAATCATGAAAGTCCAAAAGAAAAAATAAATCAACCAAATAAGATCATAAATCAATCAATTAAACCATATAAACATAAAAACAAACTAATATCAATTTTTGTCATATATGATAAGAAAACAAGAGAGGTAACCATATCAAGCTCTTAAGCTTATTCCAACCCATATAAAGAACTTTTAGCACTCGGTAAACATGATTTGGGGAATAAACACCAAATAAACCTAAGGTGTTTCTCAAACAATAACCTCTCACCAAAATCAAAACAAAGAATATATCTAAAAATGATGATTGATCAATGAATAAAATTTTCTTTATAAAATTTGATCAATCCATGTGAAGAATACATTATAAAGCACAAATAGATGATCCATAAGCTCAAACACATAAAATGTCATCATAAAAGTGTTTTATAATGAATTCAAAAGTACACATCAAAACAAACTCTTCATAGTTCAAATTAAGATTACAAAACATACAAGAGTCATGAACTATGGATTTAAAATACAAAAATAATTTATTTTTACTTTTTCAAACAATGTAAATGTATATATGTATATATGTATATATATATATGTTTGAAAATAAATAAAATCCTAAAATCTAAAAACACAACATGAACATAATTAATTTTGTTTAGGCACCTAAGAATTTTTGGTGTCGGAAAACTTAGGGACATGTTCCCTACCATTAAAGCTCAAAACCCTAGCGTTATGAATCATTTTGGGCGCATGTGGTGCCCTAACACGATCAAAGAAAAATTTGTGCAAATGATCATTTCAATTGCAATAAGTGCAATGAAAGAAGCCCATTTGATTTTGTTGACCATAAATACGAGGAACATTTGCAAACATAGATGATCATTTATTTGAAACATTTTGCAAATGTGAAAACTTTTTCAAATCAAAACAAATTTTTTTTAAGTGGCCAAATCTATCACAAATATCACATTTAAACTTATGTGGTTTTTTAAAATCATTTGGCAAATGTGAAGTCCTTTTCAAATCAAAGCAAAATTTTACCAAATGGCCAAAACATCCACAAATATCACATTTGTACACATTAGCATGCTTATGATGAACTTTATGAGAATGTGCATGTGCATGTGTACATGATGACAAAGCTTGATGGGATGCACAAACATGATTAGGCTTGATGGATTTTTGTGCATTATAGCAAAATCTTGCAAGATGACTTTTACGATCGCAATTTGTGCATTTGTAGACTTTGATATACATGTGTGCATAGTAGTGTTTGATTTGGAAGTGTTAACATGAGACTTTGTACACAAGTCTATAAGCTTATTGTTGTTTGCAATGCATATTTTAAGGATTGAATCTAAAGATAATATGCGGTCCTTAACATGATTCAACTCATTTACTTTCATAAATGCATTGTTATTAAAAGTAGAACATATATAGGTGTTAGCAAAAGAACTAACATTATTTTTATATTTTATACTTCTAATATGACATTATCTTTTTCATGAGTTAAACTAGCAATATTTGAATTAAAGAATCATGATCCAATTTTAATTTTTTATTATTTTCTTTTAGGATCACATTATCTTTGGAAATTAAGTCAAACTTAGATGCTAGCAATTCATGATCAGATTTTAATTCTACATACTTGCTTTTAAGATAAATGAAATTATTTTGTAATTTCTTATAGGCATGCATTAACACTTCATATCCATGTGCGAGTTCATCAATAGTAAGTTCATCATCATTATCGAACTTGCATACCTCACTAGGGCTATCACCTAGTGGTTGTGTGCACGAAGATGATGCTCCACATAAAATTGAAGAAGAAGCTGGCAAAGCTTGTCGGATCGCCTCTAAGTTCCCTTGATGTGCTTCTATTAATTT